GCCCTCCGCCCTCCGACCCACAGCCGCCGGACCGAATCGCGCCGCGGAGCCACGCCCACCGAACCACGCCCACGCAGTCCCCTCCGGGTCTTCCCAAGAGAGGCAAAAGTTTGCAGCTAACCCTCTCCCTGATCCTAGCACTCGGGAGGGTGAGCAGCGGGACCAGGAGATCGAAGCCAGACTGAACAACGGAGGGAGAGAGCCTGCGCCCTCCGACCCACAGCCGCCGGACCGAATCGCGCCGCGGAGCCACGCCCACCGAACCACGCCCACGCAGTCCCCTCCGGGTCTTCCCAAGAGAGGCAAAAGTTTGCAGCTAACCCTCTCCCTGATCCTAGCACTCGGGAGGGTGAGCAGCGGGACCAGGAGATCGAAGCCAGACTGAACAACGGAGGGAGAGAGCCTGTGTGAACAAAACTCAAAAAATAAAAATATAAAAACCTACTCCTGTGCGACCGCAGGCCCTGATTGGCTCCGTTTTTGGCAGCGCGGCCTCCCGATTGGCCCGCAGGCCAGGCTCGAGAGACTGCGCGGGAAGCTGCAGGATCCTGCAGGCGGCAGACAGGCGCGCGTGTGCCCGGCGCTGCTGTGTCCTGCAGGAGACACCATGAGCTGCATAAACCTGCCCTCGGTGCTGCCGGGCTCCCCCAGCAAGACCCGGGGCCAAATCCAGGTGCGGGGCTCGGGGGTCGGGGTGGTGCCCGGCGTCCGCGAGGAGCGGACCCCAACGTGACCTCTTCTTTTACCCTAGGTGATTCTCGGGCCCATGTTCTCAGGGAAAAGGTAATGCCTCCCTGGGGACGCCTGTGCCCCCCGGGTCTTCCCAGGTGCCCCGTCCGGGCGCCCGCCCCGCCTTGCCTTCCCGCCCCGCTTTCCTCTCCTCCCCGAATCCAGTCCCGGAGGAAGCCGCGCGCGTCCCCGCGAGGCTCTGGCCTTCCGGGAGCTGGACAGGGCTGGTCGCAGCCTGCCTCCCCCATCCTCAGAAGGGGCGCCCGGGTCCGTGCACTGTGAGCTCGCCAGGGTCGACACCCCTGCCCTGTGGCCGCTTCCTTCTGTGCCCGGGAACCTCCAGCTACGTCCTTCCTCTGCCGGGCTCCTTGAAGCCTCGGCCGACCTCCCCCCGGTGGGAGGAGCCTTTCCCGGAACAGAAGAGCCCACGGATTCCCTGAGTAAAGGCCCGCTACCGTCTCGCCCGCTCCAGCCCTTTGCTCCGAGCCTGAGGCTCAGGATCGGGCTTTGGGGCCCAGCACCAAGCGTTTCGGTGAATCCAGAAAAACTGGGCAGCTCTGGACATGCAGTCAGCCTCTGCCGCCCTTCTCCACCCCGTCCCTGAGACCCTTGCTTCCCGGTCTTCCCGAGCCGCCCGACGCGGTTCCTGCCCCAGGCCGGTGCGTGCTCCGTGTGAGCCCGTCAGGCCGCAGGGGGATGCCCGGCCGGGCGCGAACTCGGAGCCCGCCTTTTCTCTCCGGCCTCGGCGGCGGCTCTGTGGGTTCCGTGGTGGGGTTCCAGCTGCCCACCGCTAGGGGCCGGTGGCGGCCCGCCCTGTGCGCCGGCCTCGCCTCAGCCTGTCGTGTCTTGCAGCACCGAGTTGATGAGGCGGGTCCGCCGCTTCCAGATCGCGCAGTACAAGTGCCTGGTCATTAAGTACGCCAAAGACACGCGTTACAGCAGCAGCTTCTCCACACATGACAGGTCAGTCCTGCCCCACAGAGCCGTGTGTGGCTGGTTGGTAATTCTGATCCCTGGCCCTGACAGGGGTGGGGAGGGATTTGCACCTCCAAGACCATGACGGGCTCTGGAGGCATCTTTAGTTCTCCCGCCTGGAGGGGGCAGGATGCTGCTGGCCTGTAACTGTTCCGGTCAGGGATGATTCCACAGGACTGTCCCCACGCCCAAGAACGGTGGCCTCGGGCGCCCGTGCAGCCTGCCCAGGTGGGAAACCTTGCTCTAGAGTTTGTGCTCGGCAGAGGCTGCAACCTGGTTATTTGGCTTCCGTGCAGATTTTTGTTTAGTTTCTTAGTCATCTGTCCCTAGCTGGCTTCCTATCACCTTGTAGTCTTTATGCTTCTGGGTTATATGTTTATCCGGCTGAGCCTTGTGGACATTTCCGGCCCACAACCCCTGGGTGGGAGTTAAATTTAGTTCCTTGGCAGGAGATTGGGGCTGGCAATCCGAGCCCAGAGCCTGTCATGCTTCTCGGCCCTCCAGACTTGCAGCAGCGACACAGATCCTGCTGCTGTGCAGAGAACAGAACTGCTCGGCAGCACTTTGCCTTGGGCGGGGGCAGGGGGTTCTGGACCTGGAAGGGAGGTGGAGAATGCCAGGACTCTGCATGAGAGAGGAGTGAAGACACAGGTGGTGGTTGAACGTCTGACACACAGGGTTCACTTCCCTGCTGGCCCCTGCACGGGATGGGGTAAGCACCCGGGGTCAGTGAAAGCGGAGGACATGACGTCCTACAGGGGTTATGGGGGCAGCTCCAGCGGGCTAACCTGGTGGCACTGAAGCCACGACCAGCTGGCTGCCTGTCCTCCCTCCAGTCTTCTGTGTTTGGGGAGAAAAGTGGGAATTTAAAGTGCGTGAAATCCCGCTTTGTGTTCCCCCCAGATCTTGAGGATTGTTAGCACAGGATAACAGATAAGCTACGAACTACTACACATTTTTTATAAAAATGGCCACAAACTGCTGGGCCTTCAAGGAAACTATTTAAAAAGGCAGAGGAGGACACAGCATAGCATTTTTCTCCAGAAAAGGCCCTGTCTGTGGGGGTCATGCAGGGTCCAACGGGTCAACTAGTGGCCCTGGAACATTCCCGAATACCACTCTTACTTTGGGGCTCCACTGGGTGGGATCCTTCTGCCAGGGCCACAACAGATCCTAACTCAAGGCCTGGAATCAGGCCAGTTACCTCCTCGCTCTGCCAGAAAATAGCCCTGTGATCTTGGAGAAATCCTTTAATCCACTGGGGGCACCCTGTGGGGGAAATTCCAGTCCTTGATCTTCTGATTGGGTTCTGGTCCTGCCTCTGCTGAGGCAGGGCTGTCCTGGTCTTAGGGGTGGGGCCCATGGGCACCATGAAGAATTCAGCCTTGGGCCTGGGATTTAGCTCAGTGGCACCAAACCTGCCTGGCAAATACAAGGTCCTGAATTCGGTTCCTGATGCCAAAAAACAAAACAAAACAAAAAAAGCATTTGGCCATGAGGTGGGGGTGTGGCTCAGTGGTAGGGCATTTGCCTGGCTCAATACCAAGCCTCAAAAGCATAGTTGGCCTTGTCTGCCCTGCCCACTGCACCGATGGACGGGTAGAAGAGCTTTGGAATCTTTATTGAACTTCATATAGGACATTACTAATTTCTAGTCCACAGTCTGAGCAGGACATGGTAGCACATGCCTGTAATTCAGTACTCTGGGAGGCTGAGGCAGGAGACTCACGAGTTTGAGTCCAGCCTTGGCAGTTCGCAACCTAGCAAAGACCAACTCTCAAGATAAATTGGGCCCTGGGTTCAGTCTGCAGTACCACCCCCAAAAAAGCAAAGCATCAAATAATTGGTTTCTGGCCCTGGGCTTTTATTCTCCCCATCCCTCCCCACAGATGCTGCAGCTGGCTCTATCCGGGCTGGGTTTCCCCAGCCTCACTCACACCCTGGCTTTCCCCCTCAGGAACACCATGGAGGCCCTGCCAGCCTGCCTGCTTCGGGACACGGCCCAGGAGGCCCTGGGCGTGGCTGTCATAGGCATCGATGAGGGGCAGTTTGTGAGTTCACTGGCCTGTCACGGCTTCCCCGGGGCTCTCTCTGTCCCCCTCCCCCTGTCGGTTTGCGTGTTATTGATTCTGTCTCTGATCTGTTCGTAAAACAACAAGGCTAACTTAGCTCAGCTAGTATCTGTGGGCAGCTTTTATGGTCCCCACCAATCCACCGGGAGAGGGGAGGGGAAGGAGAGCTGCTATCGTCAATACACCCCCGATGCCAGAAACTTAAGGTGACAATTTTTAAAAATATATATTTAAGCCAGTTGTCATCCCAACTCCCTGGGAGACTAGGCAGGAAGGTCCCAAGTGCAAGATCTGCCTAGACAGCTTATCGAGATGCTGCCTCTAAATAAAATTAGGGATGTAGGTCAGTGGCAGAGCGTCCTTGGGCTCAAATTCACCCCCTGCCACCGCATGCATATGTATGAGATAAGGATGGGATCTATTCAGGTATACACCGTGGGGATTTAAGCATACTGTACTGTTGAACTTTATTGCCTACTCACAAAGTCCTGTGTGGTTCCCACCCATCCTCCCTGTCTTTGGGTGGCCCTAGGTGACCCTCATCCAGACAGTGGAAGGAGGAGGACCCAGCAGACCTCCCTGCCTCCCCCAGCATGGGGTTTTCATGCCGGAAGTCGTGTGATCTGCTGACTGGAACGGGAATGTGGTCCTTGACTACAGTTAGGTCTCGCCCTATACCCTGGAGGAGGGAATTTTTTTTTTTTTTTTTTTTTTTTTTTTTTTTTTTT